GAGCCGCACTTTGGTCAGGTCGAGTTTTAACAGATTGACGCGAATCGGCGCGTCCTTCGTTCCGCGAGTCATTTCGGCGTATTCGATGCCGTCTTGAATCGTTTTGAAATCCTGCGCGGAGATCGAAACGAAGAGAAAAATCGCCCACAGATTGACACAGAAAATGACGGATATTTTTTTCATAAATATAACTTTGCGAACTTTGCGCCTTTGCGTGAAAATTAACTTTAAATATGAAACAAATCAGCGAAAGAGTCCAACTTTTAAACGACAAATCCGCCAACAATGACGGCAAATATATTTTGTATTGGATGCAGATGTTCAAGCGCACCACCTACAATCACGCGCTTAATTTCGCCATCGAACAGGCGAACGAACGCAAACTTCCGCTCGTCGTTTACGAAGGTTTGAAATTTTATTATCCGTGGGCATCGGACAGGCTTCACACATTTATTCTCGAAGGCGTTGAAGAAAAGCGCAAGGCGTTTGAAAAACTCGGAATAAAATATATTTTCTATCTGCAAAAGGACGAAAAATCGCCGAAAGATACGGTTGCGCGAATTGCGAAAGATGCGGTTTTGCTCGTGACGGACGATTTTCCATGTTTCATCATTCCCGATCACAATAAAGCTGTCGTCAAAAAAGCCAAAATCCCTGTTTACGCGGTCGATTCAAACGGCGTGATTCCGATGTCGCGCTTTGAAAAGGAAGAATATGCGGCTTATACGATTCGCCCGAAGATCAAAAAAATGGTTGACGAATATCTGAAACCGTTTGAAGAAATCAAGGTTTTAGTAAAAGCCGACAAACTCAAAATTGATTGTCCCGACACGTTAGTTACGGAAAAGAATGTCGAAAAATTAGTTTCCGAATGCGACATCGACCACAGCGTGAAACCTTCGTTTATGTATCACGGCGGAACGGAAAACGGGCGCAAGCGTTTGAAGAAATTCGTCAAAAACATTCTGGAAGATTACGACGAAGCGCGAAACAAACCCGAAAAAGACGGCAGTTCAAGGCTTTCGTCATACTTACATTTCGGTTTTCTTTCATCACTCGAAATCGCGCTCGCGGTCAAAGAGTCGGACGCACCGCAAGCATCGAAAGACGCTTATCTTGAAGAGATCATCGTGCGCCGCGAGCTTTCTTACAATCTCACGCGCTTTAATCCGCATTACGATTCGATCAAGGCTTTGCCCGATTGGGTTCAGCAAACGATGCGCAAACACATCGACGACGAACGCGCACCGATCTATTCGCTCGAACAATTGGAAACGGGAAAAACTTACGACGAACTCTGGAACGCCGCCCAACGCGAAATGGTCGAAACGGGCGAAATTCACAATTATGTGCGGATGCTGTGGGGCAAAAACGTCATCGGCTGGACGCGTTCGTATGAA